AACTGACCATTCTTCCACCCACCCATTTCCTCAATCTGGAACCAGGTTTGGTGGCCATGAATGCTAGAACCACAACAAAGGTTTTGGCCAACACACAAGAAACCGCCACAGAGAAGATAAGCCCAAAAGCTGGTTGTCGAAGGAGACACACAATTTTATTAGGTCTGCCAATAAATAGAAACACGCAAAGGAAAGAGAGGAGGAGGGAAACAAGGAGAGTGTAGGTGAGATTCCGGTTGTTGGCTTTGACAATGGGAGTCTCTTTATTTTTAATGAAGATTGTGAGCACCAGGGTGGCCATTAAAGAAAAACAAAGAGAAAGAACAGTGAGACTGATCCCCACTGGCTCTTCATAGGACAAAAAGGTGATCTGCTTTGGAATGCATTTATTTCTGTGGGGGTTTGGATAATGATCTTCTGGACACAGAGAGCAGTCACCCATGTCTGAAAAATAAGGGAACAAGATTGTGTACAGTGGATTATACACAATGTTATATGAAGTGGCTTCATCCCATTCTATTTGAAATGTTCCTACCCTTCTCCTTTGATATTTTCCTCTCTGGACACAGAAGACAATCATAGCAGCAAAATGGCTCCCCTTCTTTCTTGGCCTTGCTGTGTCCTGCCTCACAAGGATCATTACACAAAGAAAAAGGTCGTACCTATCCATAAATAAGAGGAATAGTTTAAGATATAGAGGGGAAAGGAAGTGCTTGGGGAGATACTGTTAGTGGGAATCAACATATTAAAAAAGGGATTATTACTAAATTTGAAGTAGTAGGAAGATATTCTGAGAGGAAATTGGTCTGAAACTGTTTCATTAAACATCTACAGTTATAGGCATCTGTGGACTTCTAGTCATGTATAGCTGTAATCATCACCCCCATCCTCAATAGATCATGTCAGTGCTGGGAAGGGATGATCGGACTCTAGTCTACATCTAGAGGTGACTAGATTGAAGAAATCTGGTACAGAGGACTGCAAATTTCAAAATCTTGGGCCAAGAATTTGAGAGAGAGAGAGGGAGAGAGAGGGAGAGAGAAAGAGAGTGAAAAATTCTATATTAAATACTTCAAATGTAGATATCCCTAACAGGTATTTTCTTCCTTTCCCCATGCATTTGTGCCTAGGTTATCTCAGAGATTATGCTACGGAACTATCTTCAGTTAAAAAAGAAAAGAATGCTAGTTAAACAAAGACAGAAAGATGTTGTTGCATCTAACCTGATGAAACCCTATTGGCCACATGATGGAATCTACAGAGATATTGAAGAACTTGTCTGGTGGAGCTGTGGGATCTACCA